CTTAAGGTTACCATACACATGGAGACAAGATGATTTCATGTTCTAGAAAAGAAAAAAAGAAACACCAGAAGAAAAAACAGTGGCGATATAGAAGAGACAGGAACAGAGAGGATATGTGGATAAGAGTAGAAATAAGAACATGAGACAAATTTTTAATCTTTGTGTCTACATTTTTTACGATCATCCAAATAGTAATGAGATAAGGAGGAGACCATTGAAATCAGACTGAAAAAAGTACTAAGCTAATAAGAGTCAGAGGAAGCATGTATCCAACCTCTCAGTCCGATATGTATGTATTGTCAGTGGTGATTGTCACCTTGTAATATCGTATACTTCAATTGTTTGATATCTACAGAAATTTTTCCTGGAGAAAATAGGGGTGAAACTTCTGATGGGTTAAAAAAGAAAAAAAAAAATCCTACAAAGGACTGAATAGACTGTTGGAGACACACACTAAGTTTTCTTTGACATAATACTGGTAATTTTTTTTTATTTCGCATTTTGTTCAGAATCCACAAAGATTTCTTGTTTCGCGTGACCAGGATCTGCAGCAAGATTGCGGTATTTTTTTCCCAGCAAAGCTAACTTGTATTTGCATTTTCTCTCCCCTTGATACCAACTCAGCATAAAAATAGTGGTAGTAATCTTTTACTACTTATCTCAAAATCTGTTTTTGCATAACTTCGGTAGGGATTTTGTCTGCTTAAACTAAAAAAATTGGACATGAGTTTCATTGTGTAGCTTTGAGTGGAATCTTCCAGGAAGTTGAAACAGAGTTGAACCAAGAAGAGGAGAACCTGTTGCTTTGTTCATAGGGTTCCAGAGACCTCCAAAGAAGGTGAGGAAGCTGCCTCCATGGGCAGGACTGGACGACCCAGAAAACGAAAAAGTCCTGGTACTCTCAAGAAGAGGTAAGCCCATGTGGAGTCAGAAACCAACTTTGTTCTTGAAGCCTACATGGACTGGATGTCAAGAGTTCCCTCTGATCCTATATGGAGTATTCCAACAAAGCCAGCTACAATTGCCGTTTAGTAATTCTGCTCTGTGATTTTATGCAATAATGGGTAATATGGTTTAAAAGTAGACTTAGTTTGTGAACTTTTCCTATGCTGTTGAAACAATTTGGAATCAAGGTTGAGAGAACTTGTTTTTTACATAAATGAACCAATTTTAAGATTTTTTTCCCTGTGATTTTGATATATTTGCTGTCTTGTTTTGGCTAATGCCTCCTGATGTTTTTTTGTCTTTTTTTTTTTCCTTTCGGATTGAATAATGGACTATTTTCCAGTAATGGAAAAGTGTCATACTGGACCTTCATGGACAATGCTGCTGACTAATTGTTGCTTCTCTTACATGCATTGTAACCCTGAAAAAAGACTGTCTCCTAAGACTATACCCTGAGATCTGTGCCACCATAGATATGGTGGAATAAAAATGAAAAAGGGGATTGTAACATGTGGTCCCAGGAAAGGGAGAGGTTCCAGGTTCCCTGTACCACCCAAAAGGAAGGTGAGGCTGAGCAGGGAGAGAGGAAGCTGCAGAAGAGACTGAGGAAGGAAGCAGGATGCAGAGCCAGAAGGAGACATGGAGGAGGCACATGTTGCCAAGAGACTCATGAAGAAACTGTGCTTGGCTATTAGTCAGGGACTGGTTGAAACAGATGTGGGTGAGAGACCCATGGGGAGGTGACAATGGCAGTTTTTGTCGTGATTTTGCTCTTTTCCTCCCAGACTTGTCTGGTTGTTTCTGATCCTTTTCTTTGGGTCCCCACTGGAAGATGCTTTAGACCTGTGGCAGGCTTTGGGGCCTTGCTCTGGGCCAATCCTGCTTGGGTGGACTTTTACCCCCACAGGGGGACAGGTAACATTGGGTGCTTGGTTTAGAAACTATATTCTTTGCCTTTCCTGTACTGTTTCCTAATTATATCAAAGTTCCTTTTCACGAAGTCTCACATGTTTTGTATTGATTCAGCAGATGGCAGAACTAATTAGAGCAGGAAGGTTTGCAGATTCTGGGGTGCCCTTCTCCCTGCCCTATAACAGAACGAGGTGCCGGCCACAGGCCGGTGGCCATGAGTCTACGAACCCAAACTGCCTGCTCAGCCACCATCTTACCAGCTGCAGCTCTGCCTTCCTGGCCAGGTCAGAGCCGCCGGGTCCCCAGGTCAGAGCCCAATCTTAGGAGGTGCCTTTGGAATCCACCCCAAGCTCACCTTCAGATATCTGCGAGCAGGCGGCTGCACCTCAAAGTGTGGCCAAGATACTGTCCAGGTGGCCAAGGACCCATGCAGGACAAGGCACCACAGAAGCTGCTCAGCACTTGCTCGCCTTGCTGATAAGAAGGAGGCCATGATCTCTGTGACCCTCGCCCTGGCCTCCTGCAGCTGAGAAGCACAGGGTGGGGGAGGAAAGGGGGGAGAATCCCGACCCCTGATGCCACCTGCCCTTGACAGAGCACATTTTCTAGCTTCACCCCTCCCTTCTCTCTTTGTCCAAAGGGAAACTAAACAAGTGAGATCCATACAAACTTAAAAAGTGGACCTCCCTGATGGTGCGGGGGTTAATGGATTGCACTGTGAAGCTATCCCCAGCCACTGCAGCTTGAGTTCAATCCCCCAGCGGCCAGGGAGCTACCCACAAGGTGCAGCAGACCTCTCCCACCCCGGTGCCACTCCCCTCAGCTGTGTATTTCAGGCAATCTGCCTGTCCCACTCCTCATTCTGTGTCTGGTGAATCCTCTCACCTCCCTCCCACCTCTGATCTGCACCCCAGCTCTGGTATGCATAAAGGAAATAAATCTTTAAACACACACACACACACACACACACACAAAGGCAACCCCCAGAAAGAGATGAAGTGTTTGCACATACCCTGTGTCTGACCAGAGCTGCATCTGCAGCACTGACACAGACACACACACAAGAGCAATGAAGCCAATGACCCGAAACACGGTGAGCAAAGGAGCGCTGTGGTCACTTCTCAGAGAATGACCCCATCTCTGTAGATGTGGGCAGACACTTTGCCATCTTTATTCCAGGAAGGATAAAATGAACCGCAGGAGAGGGGCCCTGAGTGCTGTGAGGGGTCCAGGAGAGAACACTCCATAACGCCTGACACGCTCCACGGGCGGGCCCCGTCGACAACAGCTGAGCAGACCCCACACACCTCCCTGTGTGAACAAGGGCCTGGGCAACAAGGCCGCCCAGCCCAGAAGCACAGGAGGGGGCGCCAGGGATCATGGAGGGGTGACTTCTGCCCCTCCAGGGGCCGAGGGTGGGGGGTTCTGGCTGTTTTGGACCCTTTCCTGACTTGGGGCAGCTCTTGGGCTTCAGTGGCCCTGCTTTGGGACAACCCTATTGGGCTGGGCCTTTCCCCACAGGGGCAGGGGTGTTGGGGGGACAGGGAACTCTGGGTGCTGGATTTGGAAACCGTCTCTGTCCCATTTTCTTCGCTGCACACTCATTGTAGTAAAGTTCCTTTCCACGAAAGGCCCCACGCACCAGAGGATGTCTTGTCTCAACGCGCTGGACGGCAGAACCGATTGAGAACGGGCAGGTTTGGGGGTGATGGGGTGTCCTCATCCTGCCCTCCGACCCTTTGTTGGAAAGCAAGTGAGAATGACAAAGACAAGTACCCTCCGTTGACTTAGCAGGTGAGGGAAAAAGTAAAATTCCCGGAAAAAAGAAGGGACTCTAAGAAGCCGGCGAGGTGGCTGAGGGGCAGAGGAAAGAGGAGCCGACAGGCCAACGGGGAAAATGTCAGGGACTAACAGGTGTTGGGCAGGAAAGGTCAGGAAAATAGATTGAGGTCACGGGGTGCTGTTACCGAGGGATCCTGGGGGGGTCTCTGAGGGGCGATGACTTGACAGTGACGTCGAGGAAGTGCCACAGCGGGCGCTTCAAGCAGAAGGCACGTCCCGCGCAAAAGTCTGACACGGAAAATGTGGTTATTGTCAGCGAAGTTCATGGGGCCTGTGGGGGGGGCGGGGGGCGGGGAGTGGAAGGAAGCTGGAATACCGCCCTGTTTCAGTCATGCTGGTTGGATAACCCGCCAAGGAAACGGCAATTTGATTTTCCCCTTGGAGGACTCCGCCTAGGAAGTCAGCCCCAGGTCTGGGGAAACAGACTGATCAGCGGCCAGGAGGGAAATAAATAAATAAACAAATGCATGCACAGACAGGAAATCCAAAGCCTAAGAGTCAAGCAGAAAAGACCCCCACGCGGCCTCCCTGGGGGCGCAGGGGTGAAAGAAAGCGCCATCAAGCTCTTGCCAGCCACTGCAGCAGGAGATGCATCCCCCGCCGGCCAGGGGCAGCGCAGAAGGGGGCAGCAGACCCCTCCCGCCTCCCCGCTGCTCCCCTCACCGGGGTTTTTCAGTAGGTCCGCCTCTTCTGACCCCCACTCTCTCTGGTGCCTCCTCTACAACCCCCCCCCACCACCTCTGGTCTACACCCCAATGTTTGTATACACAGTAAATAACTCTTGAAAAAAAAAAAAAAAGAAAAGCTTCCCCACCCCCCCACCCCCCCCCCACACACACACACAGCGCCGGCAGGGCACACACTAAACCCGATGTGGTTGTGAAAAGGAGGAGCCTTGTCAGGAACAGTTGCCAAAGAGAAAAGTCCATCAGAGGGAAGCGGAGGCTCTCACCCAGGGGAGCAGGTGTTGACGGTTGAAACGGGCCGGGGATTGGATCCACATGGGAACCGAGATGATTTATTTTGGGGGGCGACGTGTCGGGTCCCTGGAATGTTTTGGTTAAATGCAAAGTGGAGCCTGGGCTGAGAACACGCGGGGTGCTGGTGTGAGGTTAACTCGGCGGCGAGGCGGGTTCCGAGAGTGACCTGGGGAGCCCCTGAGCTGCTGGGAAAGTCTCCCGCGCGTTTGCAGCCACGGGAGGGTCCGTTACTTTTCCAGCGTCTCTCCCGAAACACACACGACGCTGCGATCCTTTGCGAGGCGGCCCCGAGCAGATCCGGGGCGCGCGCGGTGGCGGGGCTCAGGGCCAGAGCGGGGGTCTCTGGCGTCCAGGCAGCCGCTGGGGCTCGGGCGCCGGGGCCTCCGCGGCAGCACCTGGGCCCCGGGCGCGGGAGGCGCGGGGCGGGGGGGGGGGGGGGGCGCACACCTGGGCGCCGGGGCGGAGCAATAAGGCGGCGTCTCCACCGCCGGGCGGGCTCGCACCCGGAGCAGCGAAAGCAAGAGCCAGAGCGGACGCGCAGCGGCCGGGAGCGGAGGAGAGGATGCGGGAACGCCGGAGAGAGCCTGGAGAGTCCAGATCCCCCGGGCGCTGGGGCCCTGCCGGCCCTTCAGCCCGGGATCCGCGGCCCCGAGCTCCCGGCCCCTCAGCCCCCGGCCGGCCCTCGCTGCGCTCGTCCCGAGAGCCCCGAGAGTCTGGGTTCCTAGGGGGCCAGGAGCCTCCGCACGGGCCCGGCGCCCAGCTCGTTGTCGGAGAGAACGCGAAAGGCCCCCGCCAGCCCCGGGAGCCCCAGGACCTTCTGCCCGTGAACCCGGAGCCTTCCCGCGCCGGCCCGTGCAGCCGCCGCCACGACCCGCTCGGCGGAGGGACCCGGCGCGGACCCTCGCGCCCCCGAAGACCTCGCCGCCCACGCACTTGGGCGCTGCTCAGAGCAGGTCTGGCGTGAGCGTCCCTCGAAGCTCTGCCCGCGAGGGGAGGACGAGCCTGGAGGCGCAGCGGACCCCAGGAGGCGGACGCGGCCCGGGGCTGCCGCAGGAGACCTGGAGGGGAGCCCGACGCCCCATCCGCTCGCCCCGCGCTGACGGGGCTTCCGCCATGGACGGCGGGGCTCCCGAGCCCGCCAGGGGCTGGGGCTGGGGCGGGGGACGCCTTCTCAGTTGTGCCCGAGGGAGGAGGAGCGAGGGGATCCTCTGTGCGCCCCCGGAGAGGAGAGTCGGGGTGGCCTTGAGCGGCCTGGGGGCCGGTTCTCCGCAGCAGGCGGGAGAGTCTCAAAAAGCCGCCCAGACGCGCCAAAAGCGGGCGCCGAGGTCTGGAGCCCCGAACGCTTGGGGCGCAGCTGCGGATGCTCCCGGAGCAGCGGAGCCTCCTCGCGGCGCCTGTGGGCGAGGGCCCTTGGCTAGAGAGCGAGGGTGAGGGCCCGAGGACCCTCAGGGGGCGGAGGGGCGGGGACGTGGCCTGTGGGGGAGCCCACGGCGGAGAGGGGCCCGGAGCGGCCCCGTGGGGAGCTGGTCCCCAGGGCCTGAGCGCAGAGGCGCCTGGCAGCGGGGTGACGAGACCTGGAGCCGTAGGGACGGCAGTGAGTACCCCTGGGGCTGGGCGTGTCCCCCAGGAGAGCTGAAGGTCTCAGACCTCAGAGCGCGCACAGCTGGGGGTGGGGGGCGAGGCGTGGCTTGCGCTGAGACCGGGAGAAGGCCGGGGACCCGGACGCCCCCGCTTGGGACGGCGGAGTCCGCCGAGACTGAGCCGTGGTTCCCCCTGGAGGGAGCGGGGCTGTGGGGGGCAGTCGAGAGCGATCCTGGGCGGGGCCTGCAAAGGAGCTTGTCATTGCGCCCTCCGGGGTGCCCTGGCTGGAAGGGGCAGGTTTCCGCAGTGTCTGTCCTTCGGTTGTGCTCAGTTGCGCCGCTCACCGGTGTGGGTCATGGCCGCAGGGTCAGTGGCCAAGAGAAACTGAGGTGAAGCCTGTCGAGAGACAGCAAATGGCGGGGCGGACAGAGGGGTAGGGGAAGCCTGCTTCCTCTCGAGGTTTGCGCCGAGCCCCTTTGGGGCAAACCTCCGGCGGTGGCAATCAGGAGCCTAAGGGAGTGTGGGCTTAGCCTCGGCTGCCTGAGGGTGGGCACCTGGGGGAAGGGGCGGGCATGCCAGCTCGGCACACCTGCGCCTGGGGGGCTGAGAAAATAAAGGCTGCGGCAGAGCAAGGAGCAGAAGAGGACCAACGGGAGCGCAGCGGCTGAAAACGCGGGAGGGCGGATGTATCGAGCCCAGGGAGCGGGCGGGGTCGGGCGCTCCAGGGGGTCGGGGGCTCCAGGGGCCGGGTCAGCCGGGCTTCGCTTTCGGGGGATCTGGCGCCCCCTACCGACACTTCTGGCATTGTCAAATTTTGTTTGTGAGGCCTCTGCCCAGTGGCGTGGTCGGGGCTTCTGGCAGCACCTTGGGGCTGCACCTGGAGGTTTCTCAGCTGTGCTCCGTCGTGTGCGGGCTTTTCCTCATGGGCGATGCCGGTTACCCCCGGCGTGCCTGGGCTGGGGTGTCTGGGTGGGGTGATTTGCTTTTCCTGGCAGTGGGCACAGTCCCCTGTCTACCTGTGTCTAGAGAGGGGGTGTCTTCCCGGAGAAGTGACCTCGGGCGCGCTGCCCACGGCGTCTTCGGGGCGCAGGCTGGAGGTGACGCCCGCGTCCGAAGCAGCGTGTGCAGGAACCTTTTTCCATTTGATGCTCCTATTTCTCCTTTTTCTTGTCATCTCATTTTCAGAATGCGCCTTATCATTGTCCATTGTCAAATGCTCTGTATTCAGGATCCCACATTTGCCTTTTCCAAGGTCGAGGTACTGAGATTTGTAGACTTCACCCTCTGACAAAAGAGATCATTGGAGCAGAACTTTTGGACTTACTAAACTATGTCTTTATTCTCAAAATTGACACATTATTTCACCTATGTCTAATTCCCCTTCCAAGCTATTATATTTCAACTTGGGGGGATATTTATTCATTTCTTCTAGCACCCAATACTATAGTTGTCTTATATTGAAAAAGTTTTGTAATTGCCTTAATTTTTCTCATTTTAAAAGATTTTTCTTTCTCAAAATTATAATTAAGATTTTTGCATTCATTATGCTGAGCACTTGCATAGAGTCCATGGTAACATTCATGTTGATATATTTTCATTTTTTATTATAGAATTTCAATAAGGTAGATGATTGATACCTCTGTTCTACAATTTATTTACCCCGGATGTCAGGGGGAAACTGTAGAAGAGGACAGCCAAAAGGAACTCATGCCTGAGCCAGCCAGTGTGGAAAAGAAGCGTTTTCTGCCTGGCTTTTATGTTAGGAAAGCACCTGTCTGTTCCCCACTGTCAGCTGCTCCTGGGTTTCTGCAGGGAAACAGTGAGAGGAGCTGCTTCTTAGACATGGGTTGGTAGCTACAGGTCCCCAACTCAGTTAACACTGTCCCCAAGGAACTTGCAGATGAAACAAACACAGTGCCTCTCCTAATTCTACCCAAATCACTGGCCCAAAAAATGAACAGGACTCCAAATACCAGATACCCAACAAAAATATGGAAAGTTTCCCAATTCCCACTCCCCCAGGCTGACACACCAACGGAGCCCCAAACTGAGGGAGACTCACAGACTCCCTCCCAAACTGAGGGCAACTGGACTCCCTCCCTGACAGGGACTCTGATTCCTCCCAAATGTGTGCAGGCCAGGGGCTCGCCCTGCACCCCTGGGGAACTGACACCAAATGGCAGGGGACGCAGGTTTTCCACCCAGGTTCTACCTTCTCCAAGGTGAATCCAGGGGACAGAGAAGAGCTGTGCCTGTCCTGAGGAGGACTTGGGAAGTTCCCCAGAGGGAAAAAACCCACAGCTGCTGGGACTCCCCCCCCCCCCCCAGGTCACTCCCTCTAAGCATGGGGGTCAGGATGCCACCCGGGATGCCCAGTGGGGTGGCCTGGAGCGCAGTGCGGAGGGCAGGCAACTGCTCAGTCCCTGGGAAGTCAGTTGGGGCTGGCAGAGTCCAAGTGGCATCCTGCTGCTGGCTCTGGCCTGCCCCATTGGTACCGAACGCCGGCCTCAGTTTCCCTCGGCCAACAAAAGGAAATTGAGTTTGGGGAAAAGGAAAGTGGTTGAATTATTTGTGGACAAAGGAGGAAAGCAGCAGACTCGTGTCTGACAGACCACCTTCCTGCTCTGGGGCAGAGGGCAGGGCGCTTTATGCAAAGGGGAAAAGGGAAGATGAGGGTCTCCAAAGTGGAGGGGGAAGGGGGCGGGGCCAGATGGGCGAGCTCCAGGCTGCTTTTCTCAACTCTTGGGAATGGGAGAAGACAAACCTGTCAAATTAGGGGAGAATTGCAAGACATGGGGGAGACCAACTTGTTCATTCCTATCTGAGGGACTGGTCACGTGTAACTGCATCCGATGTGCTCCGCAGCTCAAACCATAAACCTCAGATTCATAATAAATGCTTCTCTAGTTACACGTTTCCTCGATTTTTTTTAGATTTATTTCTTTATGCATACAAGAACATACAAGTACAGGCCAGAGGTGCGGGGGTGTGAGGATTCATCAGAGACAGTAGGGAGCAGAACTGGTGGATGGGCTGAAATCCACGGCTGAGGTGGGCAGCGGGGAGACGGAGGAGGTCTGCTGCACCTTGTGGGCTGCTCCTGGCCAGCACAGGGGTGGGAGGAATCTTGTCCTGCAGGGGCCGGCCAGAGCTGGAGAGCACTGTCTGTAAGCAGCCCCCGCCCGGCCCCCAAGGAGGCCCAAGAAGTTGACAGGGCAGCGTCCTCCCACCCCCAGGGATAGTGCTGGGGTTGGGGGGGTGTGCTCCTAACCACCAGCTCCCTCCCTGTGTCGGGCAGTGGCTGCCTGCCTGACCCAGTTCCACCCTAGGCCTGGGCTTACTCTGCCCTGACCGCCCTCAGCAGAGGCCGTGCCGCTCAAGGCCCCCGCCTGGCCTGCGACCAGGAGATGCCAGGAGAGATCTCCAAACAGAGCAGGGGCGCAAGCACCCTTCCCAGGCTCCCCAGTTCTCCAGCTGCTGCATCACCAGGACTCAGAACACTCTTAGCATCCCCTGGCCCTGGCCAACCCTCGCCCATCTCCCCTTTTTTACTCCCTTTTCTACAAGCCCTGGCCCTCAGCCCAAGAGCAGGACGGGGTGAGCAGACATGAGGGGCTGACTCCTCAGTGCGCCCACAGTCACAGGCTTGCTTTCTCCAGCTCTGGCTCCCTGCCACTGGGAAGGAAATGAGGCTGGAGGAGGGGTCAGGGCTTAGGGGAGGTGGAAACCATGGGAAGCTCAACAGGGAAGCTCAATGCAAACTTGGGGGTTTGCAATTGTATGGGGGATTATAAAAATAAAATTTATTATTAAAAAATAAAAATAAAAAAAAGTAGTATCAAAAAAAGACATCAGGGCAACACCACAGGGTAAGCCCCAGAACTGAATAAAGTACCTGCTCACACTGAGTCGGACCCAGGGCGTCACTTCCACCTTCCTCAAACTCACACCTCCAGCAGCAGCATGTCCCCAAAGACGCCATAGACGGGCCCGAGGTCGCTTACTCCGGGAAGACACCCCCTCTCTAGCCACCAGCAGATGGGGGACCCTGCCCACTGCCAGGAAAAGCAAGTATGAGGTGGCAGGTGTGAGGGAGGTTGAGCCTAGTGCCCTTGGGGCTCACCTGGCCTAAGCCAGAGTCTTCTTCCTGGGCTGAGGCCCAAACCCAGGTGTTCCCATTCATCTTCAGGCTTTCCCCCACTTAACAACAGCAACTCAGAGAAAAACAGCCACTTTGAGAGGCTTCCCTGGTTGGCCTAGGGGTTAAGGTTCAGCGCTATCACACCTACAGCCTGAGTTCGATCCCTGGCCAGGGAGCTGACGAACATAGAGCGCAGCAGGCCTCTCTATCCTGCCTGCTGCAGCGTTCATGTTCTGTCTCTGGTGAATCCTCTCCACTTCCCGCCCTCCGCCCTCCCCCGGGCCACGCCCCTGGCCCACCCCTGCCCACTCTCCTCCTCCCACCCCCAACTCTTCCACACAAAAAAACCGCATCCTCAGGATCAATGAAACCCTGGCCGGGAAACAATGTCTTCAGGTAAACGCCCACTCCCTTTTTAGGATAGCCAGAGAGCATGCAGTGCCCAACTAGACCTCCCTAGGCTGGAAACAACCCACCCATGCGCATTGCTAAACTAAGCCAGAAAAGGTAAAGCCCCCTGCCAACTCCAATAACACATGGCACAGCAACCATGAGGCAGCAGAGGGATAGACCCAGTCTTAGTGAATAATGGAGACGGCAAGAGGAAGATGAAGCCTGTTACGCGCTGGGCATGGATGGGTCAGGTGTGAGCAAAAGAAAGGAAGAGGACAGGCCCTTACACCGGTGCAGACAGGGCTCAAGTGGGGGTGGGGGGCATTGGGGCAGGCTCCAAGGCATGGGGACCGAGCTGGCCACCCCACCCCTACTTAACACCAGAAAAGGCTGGCCCCGGCACACAGCCTCAAACGCTTATGCCTGGGCAAGGCCAGACTTCACTGACAGCACTGGCTGGAAGAGGCAGTCTCAGCAGTGAAATGCCAAATCTTAGTCCAGAGAACCCTCTACCACATGCTACAATCTCCGCTCTTAATTTTTATTCCACCCTATCTATGGTGGCACAGAACTCAGGGTGCAGTCTTAGGAGACAGTCTTTTTTCAGGGTTACAATGTATGTAAGAGAAGCAACAATTCGTCAGCAGCATTGTCCATGAAGGTCCACGAAGGTCCAGTATGACACTTTTCCATTACTGGAAAATAGTCCATTATCCAAGCCAAAAGGA